TTAAAAACAAGAAATTGTCAAAGTTTAAGTGATGCAGAAATGACCTTCTCAGTGTTATCTTTTCCTTGACATCGTCAAGTAAAATCGCCATGGAAAACACTTTGAATCATATTTTGACAGACCAAAAGGGGTTTTCTATTCATATGAGAAAACTTTCATGAATCCCCGAACACTCAGACATACCAAGAACTGGTTGATTTTCCTATTCTTTCGTAGTTGGGCAAGATAAGAGTTCTTCACTAAGTAGACTCAAGCACAAACTTTCACAAAAACCTCACGTCAATATAAAAAGCAAGAGTTAATTGATTTATCCTATTCTTTTGTGGCAATGCAACCATTTTAATTATATAATCAAATAGCTAGCATTTTGCATTTGACTGATTATCATATCTATTAATGTTAGATATCTCATGAAGATATTCGGTGGGAAGGTGAGGGCCATGGACTTTCTCGTAGAGGTGGCCATAGTGGACCAGGCCATAGATTTAAGAAGTCTCTGGCCCGGGGTGGTTCGGTTGCTAGTGTCGGAAGAGATAGAGGGATGTCTAATGATATGTTCACGAAAGAATTCTTTCCATCACATAATGGCATTGGAAGGAAGGCTTTAGGTGATATTGAAATACTTTACACTGATACCTTAATTGAGGAAATATGTGTGCAATTTGAAAACCATATCTTATAATACAGGAGTAGTGACATGTTTTCCCATTACTGTGGTGATGAATTTAATAAGTTAAGAAATTTATCCATACAAGCCATCCTGATCCTGCTGAGATTGAGAAAGAAAAGAAAATCCTTAGAGTAAGAACAAGCAAGTATCTTGTGATATTTTTCGTTCTCCATCTTTTGTTATAGCAATTATGATGCGTCCTTCCAAATGCAGAAGCATGAACAAGCCCTATTCGATGCGATTGCAAGGCTAGTAGATGCCTTTAATGGTGAAAGTGGTAATAACTGACTATATATAAGTTTGTTGCAGGATGGTATAAAATTAAACAAGCATGTTATTTTCTGTTGTATATTGTATTTCTTTTTCTTTTTTGATAATTTATTGTATTTCTTATTAATTACAAGGATATCTTGACGTGACTTACAATGGCTTTGTAAAATTTTCTCAATTGAATTCTTGCGTTCTACTTTGAGATATGAAAATATGAGCCCTAAATAGTTTTATTGATCTTTTTCTCCTCCCATTTTTCTATTGCTATCACAAGTAAGAATGCATCTTTCTACATGCCTTAACCATCATGATAGGATGGCTTAAGCACTTGCCAGAAGTTGTTGTCTATATAATTAAGATTATTCTTCCATTGATTTGTGATTTTTTATAAATTGCAATTGTTGCAAAAAACAATAATTGTACATACTATCTGGAATCTTGGATGTCCGTTTTACTTCTTTCTTTTTTTCATATTATTATTTTATAAGGCACAAAATCCATAGGACGTGTAGAATAATAAATTTCCCTTTTTCCTCCCTAAAAGTTGAAAATTCTGCATTCACCAATTTTTATTATTATTATTATTATTATGCTACACTTGTGAATGTGTTTGGTCCGTTGCTGTGATATCCTTGTTAATTTTCTGGAGTACAGTGAAAGGTTATTTAGCTTTATCAATCACGAGTACCATGTTTTTTTTTTTTTTTTCCTTTTTGGATTTACTTCGAAGCAGATGGTGGAGAGCATCAATCAAGGCCAATCAACGGACCAAGAGGGAGGATGGCGAAATCGGCACAATGATGAAATGGGTGGTGAACGAAGAGTACTGGAAGGTACAGATGGCAATAGAACGGCTATGCAAGGAATAATTGGATCCAATGATTAGCAACAATAGGGCTATGCCATGTATGTGACAATAGGGTTATGACATGTGATTAGAGTAAGTTTACATAACCAGGCAAACCTGACTCCTTTTGTGCTCCTCCAATGCTGTAATTTATTACATGAGTGAAACACATGTATAAATCTGAGCGTGTATGTACATTGCATGATGCACCTACAGTGATGCAACAAATTATGGAATCAGATTCACAATATGAGCATCATAAGCAGGCCCTTTCATTGAGCACAACTTGCTAAAAAATCATATCGCTTTTAAATAATTATAGGCTATTTGGTGAAAAAGCTAAAAGTGAATGCTGGTTTTGTGAAGAGAGAGAGTGCTGTGTAATAATTGAATTTGAGTGTGTTACCATGGTTTTGAGTAGCATTGGAGTTCGTAAGCAAATCTTGTTGGATCTCTGGTTGTTGGATGAATTAATAAAATGGCCATGCTGATTTTGTAATCAAGGTATTTTTGTAATAAACATTTAATTTATATCAACTGAAAGTGGAAACTTGAAAAATATGATGCTTGGTGTAATGGGTGGGTAGGGATGGCAATAGGGCGGGGCGGGGATCTCATTCCCCATCCCTGTAATTTTTTTCATCCTCATCCCCGCCCCCATTCTCATTTAAAATTTCACTTCAATTCCCATATGTGACGGCCTAAGTTTTTCAACCCGGTGCGTCAGTGATAACCCGAAAGTTGACCCGATAACGAATCCGAAATGCGAAAGCAAAAGATGAAACCAAAATCCTTTGAGATATAAATCATCTCTAAGACACCAATGTGACATTCCATGAAGTCACGAAACTTAAAGAGAGCAAAAGAAGAAACTAGTGTCAAAACGAGCAAAATTCGTTAATTAAGGGCAAAATGGTCAATTCACAATTAAAAAGAGAGAATTGACTCTAAAAAAGTCAAACAATGTGAATAAAACCTAATCTAATCATTTCACAACATTTCAAGAGGTTCTAAGAACTTTGGCCAAAAATCCCATATGATGCCATTTACCGGTTTAAGCAAAAACTGACACTACCTTACTAAAAGATGAATAACTCCTACTATGATTTGAATTTGAGAATGGCATTGGTATCATTGGAAAGCTGACTCAAAATCCTTGAGTTTGGGCTTAATAATCACCCCATTTGGATTAGAAATGAAGGAGTTATGACCTTTTGAAATTGGAACATTAGTGCAGAAACATAACAAAGAGGCTGTGTGTATGCAAGCTATTTCGGTCAACCGAAATGGATAAAAATTTTGCTAAAATCATATTTTTGAGGGGAGGTCATTTTGGTAGACCGAAATAAGGCATCGGTTAACCGAAATAGGCCCAAATAGTGAAAAAGGCTACTAGAATGACTGATTTATTGTGCAAAGGAATTCCCAAAAGCCATCGGTCGACCGAACTAGCATTTCGGACAACCGAAATGACTCGAATAAGTGCTCAATTGCTAGGAAAAGGTCCTCGGTCCAATCCTAAGGTGATGTATGCACCCCATATGATCCGGACATACTTAAAAACATTCCCTAGCCTCAAAAAGGCATCCATAAGAGCATCTCTAACCCACCTCTTATTTGGGCTGCTAATTTAAAATATGGCAGGTAGGCTTAAAACTAGGCTCTCCAATGCAATGCTATTTGGGCCGCTATTTTTTAACTTTGCTATTTTTTATGCCAATTGTAGCAAAACAAATAGCAATTGCTATTTAGGCTGGGCTACAGAAAATAAGGGACGGCTCCAATTTCGCCTGTATTTGTCTAGGGCAACAGAGAGAGAGAAGAGAACGGTGGCAACAGAAACGGAATAGACCAGCCACCAGCGACAAAAAGTTAATTTCTTCCTCATTGTTGTCTCTCCGATTCGTTGTCGGGTCACCGTCAATCCATTGCTCTTCCTCATCGTTGTTAAACTCATAAACCCCCTTTATGGTTAGACTCAATAATCCACCGAAATTGGGGAAACGCAGACCACTCGCCAAACCCCCTCGTGTGCATTTGCAGTGGCAGATCGAGAACAGATAGAGAGCGTTGCTCAACGAATTAGAGGTACCTCTCTCTCTCTCTCTAAAACTCTTCCCTCACCCCCCTCTCTCTCTATACATATATGTGTATATTCCCTAATGTTTTTAAACAACGCTCTCTACTTCTGCACATCTTCTACGTTCATTCAATTTTACTGAACCACCGTATCGTTATCATTATGTATACTTTATATCCAAATGTTATCTGATATGGGTTGATATCTTTTGGATCTTCTTATCTGTATTTTTTTTTTAGAGCTTCAAGATTGGCAAGAACAAAAGAGAGAATTTGAAATGATAAGTGATTAGGGGCCGAACCGACTCATAAAATTTTTAAATTTGCTGTTTCCGAGTAATAGATTTGGATTACTCATAACTCAGAAGTCTGATTATAAAATGTTTATTTATTTTTTAAAGTCCTGTACTATGAATCTTGGTTTGGTTTTTGGTTTCTGAGACGGGTGTGCATTTTATAATGGGAAGGTCTAAAACCAGTTGCATGAATAATTATAATGGTCAATGTCTTCTCTGTATGATGAGGATAGAGAAGAAAAGCATAAGCAAATATAATTTAAATAAAAGCATTTGCATTAGCAGTATAATTTTTGTTTCTTTTAAAATGTTCTTTACAACTTGAAGCTTCCAACACACTATCAACAACTCAGTGATATTACTGATGGTATGGATTGAGTTGCTTCAAAAAAAAAAATAAAAAAAATTGAAGCTTTGCATGGTGGGAATGGTAGTTAAAAAGAATAGTGGTTGTGTCAAAAAATAGCATTTTGCATGAAATACACCATTGGAGCAAAATTGCTAAAATGTATCATTTTGACACTGTAGCACTGTCAAAATATAAATTTGGCATCCGAATTTAGCATTTTAGGGTTGGAGATGCTCTAACATGCTAAAACAAAAGGGAACTTAAAACATACTCCAATGCATGAATTTTTTTTATAAAAATTCATAATTTATCCATAAATAGTTCAAAAGTCAAAACTTAAGAGTTTTGTGAGATGTGAGCATGCACGCAAACGCAAAATGATGTAGTAGATGCGCTACAATGGCCTACGGCCTCATTAAAATCCATTTACAAATTTTGACATGTCAAACCTCTAATTTTCATAATAGGCTATATTTGCAATACTTGAACTTTTAGAACATGCTTGTGAATATCAAGTTAATGGCCCTTGGCCTCATGTTGTACATACAAAACAAGTATCAAAAAGTGTACTTAAGTACACATTACATATTTCAAAGCAAAAATAGCATTTTACACCAAAATAGTACTACATGCTAACACTTGCATGTTTTCCCAAATTATAACAAAGTACTTCAAGGCATCAAAGCAACTTAGGGATGTGATGCATCCCAAAACAAGGTTTCTTTACCTGCAAAATGACCCAAACAACGAGGGTGAGTAAACAAGTTACTCGTAGGATGTGGTGCATGTACATACGCTATAGTTTCAAGTATAATGCAAACTAAACATAGATAATTACAAGGGTGCATTCCACCTAACGTCTATCTTTTAAGGTACTCTAAGGGATCATCTCAAGCTATACAAATATTTGAAGTGATAAACACATAGCATCCAAATATACATAAACAAGTACACTAACCGTATTGAAACTAGAATTACCAAATCACAAGCTACAAGAAATCTATGATTTACAACTTGGAATATAATGCGAAATTGAGGATATCAAAGATGGATTGGACCAGACCTGACCCGCGAGTAGAGCATCAGGTTGAATGGTAGGTTCGAGCCCAAGCAAAAAGGGTAGCATAATGAGCCCAACACCCACAAAAGAAGGATCGGACCGAACAGTTGAACTCAGCCCATAATGCAACACTGTGAGTTAGGCCTAACGTCTGAGACTTACATAATGAAGTCAAGCCCAAAAGGAAGAAAGCCCAAGAATAAGAGCCCTATGTAATAAGTTGGTTAAAGTATTTGTAATGGTCTATAAATAGACAATACGAGTAGAGAGAATGGGAGGTTTTTTGAGTTTTCATTCTATTGAAGTGTAAGAATTTTAGAGAGAGAAAGGTGATTGAATCTCTTGCATCTTCAATTGGCGCCGTCTGTGGGAAACGTTGAAGGTTGATTCTTGTTTGATCAACGTCATGTTGATTCCGACTGATTGATGACGATGAAGCTTGATTTGTAGAAGTTTAGTCCAGATCTAAGAGATTGCGGTTTGCTCTTGAGAGATTCTGGATTCTTGATTGATTATGAGAGATTAGCGTTAGGTTTACGCAGCCGTGATTCACTCTATCGCGGCTCGATCCGACAAGCTCAGACACTGGAAAAGCTCTGATCTATCGAAGGGAAAGCAAAACTCGTAAAATTTGAGTTTAGATCTGACGTGATTCGCGTCAGCGAGACTCAGATCTAACTTAGAATTTACTATTCATGCCTTTGCTCCGTTCTGGAATGATGACTGGGGATGAGAACTCCAATATGGTGGAGAATGTCCAGCAGATGAAACTTGATGAGTTGATGAGCATGATCGAAGCTCTCAGGAGAGAGAATGCAGATTTAAGGACTGAAATGCAGCGTCAAGAAGTTCAGGTGATTCCGCAACCGCTCCCGGCAGGAGAACAAGTTGCACGTACCGATGCCGCACATCACGGCAAGGAGGTAGGGAACAATCAGATAGATCTTCACCATGAGGAGGTCCGGCTAAATGATTTGCCGCCAAATCCTCGTCGTGTTGATGATCGTGAAGGATCAACTCACGTGGATCCACGGCGTGAACAGATCAGGCGAATCGAAGCCATGACTTTTGATCCACATCAAGAAATGCTCGGTCGAGGTGAAGCAATGGAGTTTGATCGTCACAAAGCTATACCTCCATGGCATAGAGAATTTGTTGAGGACAGATCATTCGATCCGACTTATCGGCCTTCCATGGCGACGTTCAACTATCGCGGCTCAGAGAAGAGATCTATAGATCAAAGAGTAATCGCGGGGTTCCAGAGGGAAAACGAAGCCCTCCGTTTAGCAGCTCGAATGGTTGATTCACCGTTCACCGATAAAATTCTAAATGCTCCGAGTCCAAGGAAATTTTCCATGCCCTTTTTCATTCTGTTCGACGGAACGACCGATCCAATTTATCATGTGTATCACATCCAGTTGAAAATGGCTCTGAACACTGAGAATGATTCCTTGATGTGCAAGTGCTTCCTTACAAGTCTAGTTGGACCAGCGCTCAATTGGTTCAAGAACCTGCCGAGAAGCTCAGTGGATAATTTCCGAAGCTTGTGTGATCGGTTCATAAGCCAATATTATGGAAATAAGCATCCAGCAAAGGACATCTCGAGCCTATTCACAATGAAGTATCATGAGGATGAGCATCACTAAGCTTTCCTAACCAGGTTTAACCTTACCAAGAGTATGGTGATTGAATGTCATCCTTCTATGGCGGTTCAAGCGTTTATACTGGCCATGACTCGTGGCACTCCATTCCACACAAGCTTGGTAGTGAACACGCCGAAGACTATGGATGAACTTAATGAAAGAGCTGATTGATTTGTGTGCTTGGAAGAAGAATAGGTAGCTAACGCTCGGAAGACATCCGTCATATCAACAGAGGAAAAAACCAAAGCAAAGATTAGACAAAAGCAGGTTCAGCCACAGCGTTCCTCGTGGAAATCTGAGAAGAAGCCCTGAGAGGAAGAACTGGTTACTCCATTGAAAGTTACCTTAGCAAGGCTGTACCAAGAAAATAAAGATAAGTTTCGACCTCCTTTACCAATCAGACAACCCCTCGAACAGAGGGATCAGTCTAAGCATTGTGCATTTCATTTTGACTTTGGCCATCAGACTAACGAATGCAGGAACTTAAGGAGACAGGTAGAGATGCTGATAGCCAGAGGGGAGTTCGCAAGTTATATTCAAGGCCCGGCGGTGGAACAGAACCGACCAATGGAACACGTGAAGAGGAATCAGAAGTTGAACTCTTACAATACGCAACCAGTTCGAATAATCAATGTAATTCACGGTCGGCCTGAGCCTACTGAGGAGTCAGATGAACTGCTTCGAACACGCCTTCGCCAGGCACGGATGAAGAGAAGGATAGGCAGTGTAAACACTCTGCACCAACAGAGCGTATCAACACAAATAAAGTTTGACAGAACAGATCTATTGCGTGTTCAGATCCCTCATGAGGACCCGTTGGTCGTCAGTTTAACAGTGGCCAAATGTTTGGTATGCAGAGTTCTAATTGATCCTGGAAGTAGTGCGAACGTCATACCGAGGGACACATTTGATCGGCTCGAGATTAAGCCGGATCGACTCAAATCCACTGGGAATCCTTTACTAGGGTTTGATGGAAAACGAGTGGAGCCCATCGGTATGGTGGAGGTAGCGGTACATGCTGCAGAGAGGGTTCTGATGGAGACCTTTGTGGTTATCGAGATTCATCCCTCTTACAACCTTCTGATGAGCAGAGGGTGGATCCATAGAGTTCAAGGTGTTCCTTCCACTTTGCATCAAGTAATGAGATGCCTGGGGCCAGACGGAGCCAGGGTGATCGACATTCATGGGGACCAGGTTGTAGCTAAGGAATGTTATTCAGTAACGCTGAAGTATGCTGGAAAAGGGAAATCACCCATCCATTCGGCAAGCCCGAGATAGCAATTACAGGAACCTCCCCCCAAGTAGAATGGGGAGGAGGAGCCAGTAGACTTGACTGAAGAACCCCTGGTTGATGTATAGATCGATCGGTTCCGACCAGAACAAGCAACCAGAGTGGGGGAACGACTCGCTGTGGCGGAGAAACAAGAGTTAGTTGATTTCTTGTCTCAGAACGCCGATGTATTTGCATGGAGCCACCTAGACATGCCTGGAATTGATCCTTCCATATCCTGTCACTCCTTGAATGTAAATCCTAATGCAAGACCTGTAAAGCAGAAGCAGCGAAGGTTTGCTCCAGAGCGTAACCAGATTATAGCCGAGGAGGTTGACAGGCTACTTGATGCGGGATTTATAAGTGAAGTGTATTATCCTGACTGGTTGTCAAACGTTGTTGTTGTGCAGAAGAAGAATGGGAAATGGCGAGTGTGCATTGATTTCGCCAATTTAAACAAAGCCTGTCCGAAGGATAGCTTTCCGCTACCAAAAATTGATCAAATGGTGGACGCTACTACTGGATATGAGCGTTTAACCTTTTTAGATGCTTATTCAGGTTATAATCAGATCCCCATGGACCTTGCTGATGAAGAGAAAACTTCTTTCGTTACCAAGCGCGGGACCTATTGCTACAAAGTCATACTATTCGGACTGAAGAATGCCGGAGCAACTTACCAAAGACTTATTAGCAAAATTTTCAAGGGTCAAATAGGGAAGACCTTGGAAGCTTACATTGATGACATGGTAGTAAAAAGTAAGAAGAAAGTTGACCATTTGAAACATCTACAAGATATATTTGATGTGTTAAGGCACTATGGAATGAAGCTCAATCCAACCAAGTGCTCATTCGGCGTAAGTTCTGGTCAATTCCTCGGACACGTGGCTAATCATTGAGGCATAGAAGCTAGCCCAACCCAAGCAGAAGCTCTGACTAAAAATGCTGAGCCGACAACAGTCAAAGAAGTGCAAACACTTACGGGACGGATCGCTGTATTGAGCCGGTTCATTTCCAAATTGTCAGATCGCTGCAAACCATTTTTTGACACAATACGAAGCCATGGCAGACAAGTTTGGGGGGATGAACAGCGCCTAGCATTAACTGGTCTGAAGGAATATATGCAGAACCTTCCGGTCCTGTCAGCTCCAGAACCAGGAGAAAAACTATTTTTATACCTCGAGGTGTCCAGCATCGCGACAAGTGGCGTTCTGATCCGTTGTCTAGAGGGGAAGCAATATCCAGTGTTCTATGTTAGTAAAACGATGACTGAGGCCGAACGACGTTATTCAAAGGCCGAACGGGTGATACTCTCGCTAGTGCATGCGAAAAGAAAGCTCAGGCATTACTTTGAATCCCATCCTATCATCGTTCTAACCACCTTCCCTATCAGAATAATCCTGCACAAGCCAGACCTCTCAGGAAGAATGACGAAGTGGGCCATAAAGTTAAGCTCATTTGACATAACATATGAACCCAGAACGGCAGTCAAAGGGCAAGCGGTGGCAGATTTTTTACTAGAATGTGATTCAGAAGACATGGAGGAAGACCTTCGTGGTTGCTTGTGGAAACTCTTCGTCGATGGATCCTCAAATCAGATGGGGGCAGGCATTGGGATCAAACTGCAGACACTAGAAGATACGTCCTTAAGTTAAGCGCTCCGACTTGAATTCAGAGCCACCAATAATGAAGTGGAGTATGAAGCACTGCTGGCAGGACTTAAGCTTGCTAAGGAGTTGAAGGTCAGGAATTTGACT